CCTCCACAGAGAACAGCTCTGGACCTGAGGGGTGTTCCTCTTGGAACAGCTGCTCAAAGACTGGCTAGTGCTGGTCCCAGCCACCACAGACTCTGACATGCTCTCCATGTTGGACGTGTCCTCCCTACCCAGGGGTGCACAGAGGTATGGTGAGCAGCAAAATGCCAACAGGGACCTCGAAGGAGTCCCCAGGTCCGTAAGCTCCTCTCTGGAGGGACGCTAAGAAGAGCCCCCTCTCTTGAGCGGCTGGGACACCATGTCTTCAGCCTGGATGAGGCAGCTGAGCCCTTGGTGCAGTCTGGAGGACAGAAGTCCAGGGGAGCCAGGGACAGAGGACCCAGGGAAGGAAAGCAGCACCAAGTGGAAGAGGCAAGGGACGCAGGACACAGGGCCTCAGGAGCCCTGCACACCTCTGCCCAAGGTAAGGGGGCTGCTTGGAGCTCAGCCAGGCTCCACCCTCCCTGGTCCCTGCTTCAGGGACTCTAGCCGCTTGCTCCTAAGTACAGTCTTACCTCAATGACCTTGCTCCCCACCCCTGACCCCCTGTAACCTAGAGGGCAATGGTTAAGAGCATGGAGCACCAGACCAGTGCATCTTAGATAGAATAAAAATGGGTGTGGCCGGGTGTTGGTGGCTCACACCTTTAATCCCAGCACTTCAGAGGCAGAGCCAGGCGGATCTCTGTGAGTTCAAGGCCAGCCTGGGCTACAGAGTGAGTTCCCGGAAAGGTACAAAGCTACACAGAGAAACCCTGTCTCGAAAAGCAAGCAAACAAACAAAAAGAATGGGTATGGGTGTGAAGAATTGCTTATCGACCAATAGGAAATCAAAACTCAGCAACCGCCCTCTGCCTATGGACTTGAACCCTGTACTGTACACCCACAACCATTTGCCCTATTTTGTCTGCCAAGTATGCGCGCCTCAGGACATCCTTCAGATTGTCCTTAGATATTGCTCTGGGCCACCCGTCTTCCTTCCAGGTCCTTCCTGAAGGATCGTGGTAGCCAGGTGCTCCTTCTTAATGTCCCCAAAGAGTCAGTGCAGTGACTGGACATGAGCTGAAGGGGTACAGGGACCCCACCACATCACTCAGTGACCAGCCAAAGAGGTGCAGTGAAGGAGGCCACCACCTGGCTGGCCAGGTCAGCCCAATCTTCCTGCTGGACCGGCCAGGCAAGAAATTGCCAATCACTCTGACATTGTCTCTGGCCCCCATGTTAATACCCTCTGCAGCCTGGTTCCCTCCTAGGGCCACCGGGTCACAAACAGGGAGCACCACCGGCCAGAAATGATCAGGGCCAGCCTCATTCATTGCACACCTCATGGGAAAGAGGCTCCGGGGAGAGGACAAAGCTACAGCCCTACTAACAGGTTGCTTCCAAAGCAAAAGTCAGCAAACTGTGTTGTCTCTTAAGACAGAAGCAGGCCTGCGGGAGGCACAGGGCGGTTCCAGCCCGACCCCAGTGGATGACAGATCACCCTAGGAGTGGTCGAACCCAAAGTGGTGGCCTAGCCTCCTCCTTGGTCCAAGCAAACAGGGCGGCCAGAGGCAGAACCTGGATTTCAGCAGGGAGCGAGCAATCACCCGCCAATGATTCTATCAAAAGGCTGTCCACGCTTCCGTAGGGCAGTATCCTCCCAGCTCAGCATTTCATCGCCTCGGGGAGCCCCCGCCCACGGCTGGCCAAGCAGCCGGAAGCAGCAGGGACAGAGTGCGCCACAGCCGAGCAGGGGGCTTCGTGCCACCTGCATCACCCTACTGTGGGCTCCCCAGGGTACTCCACGCCCACCGCCTGCGTACGTCAGGCTCTGTCCACAGCACGCTCAGCTCGCAACGGGGAACTGAGGGTGGCTGCAAGGGGGGACACCAAGGTCATCGGTCCGGGGAGGCTACGCCGCGATCCAGCGGTCTCCCCAGCAGCCCGGGTTACATAAGCGGTGAAGCGCGTACCTGCAGCGGGAACATGGCGGCTCGGTTGCCCACGTAGCCTCGGACGACATGGCTCTGGATGGAGAGCACCCGGCACTCGCCCTCCATGCCGGGCAGGACGTGGTGGCGCGTGGCCCAGGTGGTGTCACGGAATCCGGCTACCCAAGCCGCACGCTCGATCTCTCTGCTCCTGGTTGCCTTGAGCACGCGCAGGCGCTGGTTTTGGACGCGTTGCCCGCCTCCTCTGACCTCAACAGGCCGGCTGCTAACCCGCGAGTCCCGCGCGCCGAGGGGCGGGGTGGAGGCGGTCCTGCACACAGGCCACGCCCCTCCGGGAAAAGGGACTTGTGGAACTGAGCTGGACCCGGTGCAGCGCGTGAGCATTCGTCTCTTCTGCAGACTTCAGTCTGCACCAGCCAGCACACCTGGGACACACTCTCTAGTATGGTACATTAATTCCTCACCATTCCCCCTCATTTTCTTGGGGCGCTGATCGCCCCATGGGTGGCACTCCTGGGAACTACTGTCTAAAGAGCTCCCACTGAGCTCTATCACCATAAAACTCAGATCCAAAGGATCCCTCCTGCCATGAGGCCTATGGGGACTCCCAGACCCAGTAAGGCGCATGCTGGGCTGTCTGATCTAAGGCTGCCTCTGAGTTGAGCCACGTGTCCCTTCCCAATATCCCAGCTAGCCCAGGCTCAAGTCCACCTCAGAGCCGCTCATGGGGACAGACTCAATGCTGCTGCACTGGCTCTCCCCCCTTTTCAGCCCCCACCCAGTACTCTCAGTCCTTGGGAAAGTGAACCTCTCTCTCGTGTGTCCCATCTCCAGATCTAGCACTTTGGAGTTCCTGTGGTCACAGATTCCAGGTTCACAGATTGGCGGCAGAGGCCAGCATGTCCAGTGTGCAGTGTCTTGGTGAGAGTACTGGGGGACCAGGTCTGCTTTGAGGAGAGAGGAAGGACCCCCATTGCTCAGGGAACAATTTAGAAAGAGGAAATGGGGATTTTAGCCCAGTTAGTGGAGTGTATACCAAGGCCCTAGCTTTAATCTCAACACCAAAAAAAGTGAACAGAACAAGGAAACACATTGTAAGGAATGCTTGGTTGGGTTAACTAAATGGAGTACATTGTAGGAATAAT